TTTATGCATAAAATATGGATATTCAGGGTGTCCAGCGGTTCTTGAAAAAAGAATTCAAGGACTTTTCAAGGTTTTCAAGGCCCAAAATAATTTTTTTCAAGGTGCACTTTTAACATAATAACTTTGAAAATATTTTAATATTTATGACTCTCTAAATTTTAATTAGTAAAGTGTCATGTAACAATTCAAATTAGTCAAAATTGTACTAATTTTTAATTATTCTGTAATGAAACTTTGGTACAAAAAATAAAAATTACCAACGACATATTACACATGACACTAATACCTGCATATCAACAACCGATTCCTATAAAAAATCGATTCTATGATTCAGAAAATCGAGAAAAATGTTTTTTTTTCAAAAAGTTTATTATGTTTCGCGCTTTTTTCTAGTCATAGTTAGACCAAATGTATTTGAGACTAGAAAATTAAGCTATTATTTTAAGAAATATAAAAAATTCAAGGTTTTGCTATTAAATTCAAGTACTTTTCAAGGTTTTCAAAGAATTCAAGGTCGCTGGACACCCTGATATTGAATAATATTGGTATAGAAGATATTTGTTTCTTTTGGTTGTCTTAAATGTTTCATATAAAAAATACTTCAATCCATTTAGTTTTTTTGGTATTTGATAACATTGGCATTAAAGATATTACGATTTTGAGGATAAAGAAAGATATTGGATAACATTAGAATTGAATATATTTTGATAATGCAACAAAAATATTGATTGTTTGATAATAGTGGAAGCTGACTTTTGAAAAAAATTTTTGGTATTGGATAATTTTGGCATTAAAGATGTTTTGATTTTAAGGATAAAAAATGATATTGCAGAACATTAGTATTGAATATATTTTGATATTGGAAAAAAATATTGATTTTTTGACCACAGTGAAAGTTGAAAAATTTTTTGGTATTGGATAAGATTGGCATTAAATATATTTGGATTTTGATGATAATAAAATATATTGGATAACATTGGTATTGAATATATTTCGATATTGAAAAAAATTTTTTGACTGTTTGATAATAGAGGATGTTGGCTTTTGGAAAAGTATTTAAATAGATAAAAAGAGGTTTGAATATTGTTTTAAGGGTTAAAGTTGTTTTATGGGTTAAATAATAGTTTGTGAGTTGAATATTGATTTGAATATTAATAAAAAGTGCAGAGGAAAATAAGTTAAATAATAATCATTATCGAAAATAATATAATATGGAAAAAGATTAAACAACGCTAATTCACGTTCATGTAAGACTATCATTGTTGCATTAGTTAGCTGAATTATAGTTAATGAAATTTTTTATAGGTAAAACACATGTAAGTAAATTTTTTAAAGCAATAAACTAAAATAAACGATATGTTTTGAAAATTGTCTTTATCAACAGTTTGAAAGTAGAAGAAGGATACCATGTCGAACATAGAAGAGTATTTTATTTTAAGTAATGAAGATTTTAAAATTATTGAAAATGTAAATGAAATGTTAAATGATATGCATATGTATAAATTTCAAGAATTATCAAAAAATGATTCAAATTCTTTTTTCATTATGCAAAGTACTTTGTATTTACAAATGCTTGATTTAATTGTTCCAATTAGAGAAAGAGATAAACATATTCAAATAGTTTTTAGCGGTAATACCAATTCTGGTCATTTGATTTGTGTTTATTACGATGAAGTAAGACTTTATATTTTTGATAACCTTAATGCAGGGTGTTCGAATATTCTTCAAATAGAATATTTAATTAGATTGTTCCTTTTTAAACCAACAGAATTTTTTGTAGATGTTGATCAACAACCGGTTGGTACAGTTAAGTGTGAAGTATAATGCAATAGCATTTGCAACATCTGTATTGGTTAACAGTGTAAAGTAAAAGATTAATTTATGGAACTGATAATAATGTAATGAGCAAGCATTTGATATCATTTTTTGAAAACAATTAATTAAATCATTTTCCGGAATTTAGAATGTCTAATATTAGGATTTCGATTTATAGAGAATGATTGGAATTGTCTTTTCATAAATCGAGCTAAAGAACTTCAAAATGGTGAGCTAAACCTTTCATATTTTGTAAAGACTTTTCCCAATAAAGATGACAACAGAGTTCTGTCTACTAAAACTAAGAATGAAAAGAAAATACCCAAAGAAAAAAATTTGTCCTGTAACATGAAGAAATTATCTACAAAAATTGAAGAGGTATTTACATGTTGATGTAAATTCAGTATGCACAACAGAAAATAATAAGAAAATAATTTCTAGTCTTATTGTTAGGAAAAATTTTAATCCCATGACATATCCTACATTGTTTCCTTTTGGTGATCCTGGATGGACTGTTAACCTTAAGCATACATATCTTAAGCGTACTTGTAAAATAATATTATTATTTTTGTGAGATCAAAAGTCCAATAAGTGTCCGTCAAATAAAAATAAATTTTTAATTTTTCATAAAAAATTGTAGATATCGCGCGCGTTTACGTGCGTTTCTTTTAGCTAGTGTAATAAATTAACTGAAATTTTAACTTTTCACTATGTCCGTAAAATTACTCTCTATTAAGAAATGATGAAAACTGTTGGCGCGTGCAAAGTCAACCCAGCGGGCATCCACGATGAAAATGAACCTAAGAATCAAAGAGACTTTTGAGAAACTTTATGACTACTGCGCCGTAGATTTTATCACGTGACAACTCTTATATTCTAATTGGCTGTTTTGGAAAACAATTTGCGGGATTTTTAAAATATGATGCTCCCTATTAGAAATATTAATATAGAAAAATATAGGTGGGGGGAATAAAATTTTTAAGTCCTCTTCATACTTACCACCTTTAAATTCACATACGTTATATGCCAAGAAAAAATGGATTGAAAATACGCAGATTTCCTTCTTTAATTATATTTAATTCCCTTATATATCAAGCACTGATTTAGAGATGTGGGCGATATATTATAAACTAAGCAATGTTAAAAATATTATGTTTTATTTCTATAAATAAAACATTAGGAGTAATTTTTATAAATTAAAATTTCATCCTCCTAAGAATAATGTAATGGAAGTATAGGTAAAATGAAAAGAAGAATTAAATAAAAAAATAATATTTATGTTATGAAACAAAAAAAATTTAATTATAATTTATAAATAATAGTAAATATTTTATATTTATAAATATTAATAACTTTTGAAATTTATAGAATTATTTATAATGCATAATGAGAACAATCAATTAACAAAAATACTGTCATTTTAACATAAATATCGTGAGAAACAATTTTTTTCAAGCTTAGATACTCTTAACTTAATAGAAATTAAGGTACTTGCTGCTTATTTCGGAAAGTTCTGTTCAACTTCTATTTAAATATTATTACTTAAATCCAGGTAAATATCAATTTCAGTTTTATGGGGATATTAAATTTAAATAAAACATCATTATTACAACCAAGAAAAAGCAAACAATGTTTATTTTAAGTTGACAATAACATTTTTTTTTAAATTCCATGAAAATTTTTTTTTTACTATATAATATATAGTAAAATCCATCAACAAAAAATTCATTAACAAAAACAAAATATTATTATATTTATGTTCATACACAATTTTTTTAATAAGTGATGTAGAATGTTCTTGGTTTTGTTATCTATAGCAAATTGAAAAAATAGATGTTGAAATTCGATACAAAAGAAACAATTGGCTGTTTTGGAAAACAATTTGCGGGATTTTTAAAATATGATGCTCCCTATTAGAAATATTAATATAGAAAAATATAGGTGGGGGGAATAAAATTTTTAAGTTCTCTTCATACTTACCACCTTTAAATTCACATACGTTATATGCCAAGAAAAAATAGATTGAAAATACGCAGATTTCCTTCTTTAATTATAGTTTATAGAGAGTGACAGTGAAAGACGAGGAATTTCTGAAAGTTTCATTGTTTACCCTGTTGTGCTTTTCTTTAAATTATATCTAACACTGGCAACGTTGCAAATTGGTATGACTGATTACGAGGAGTGAAGGAAGATTTTTTGCCAGTTGATTCAGAATCTTTGCTATAATATATCTTGTTTCCACCAAATAACTTTTGTGGTTATGTGTATTGTTTTTCTTTGGAGATTGTTTACATACAGGTAAGTTAATCTTGTTTGAGGAAATATTCTTTATGTAATCGCATTTAGACGAAAGTATAATTTTGTTAATTATAGTATTGGTGACTACGTTGTAGAAAAAAACGGTAAATCCTGTAGAATTCAAGTGATACATTTGCTCTTTACATTAATTTTTTTTTGACTGGAATTTTGCGATACTATTTTGCCTTCACTTTTAAGTGTAATATAATAATTAAATTATTGTCATGAAGATGTATTCTTTTTATGATTTTTCAATAGTTAATTTGTGTTTTTAAATAATCAATTCCTATAGCATATAAAATGCCTGGAAATGAGGAAAAGCAGTTTCGAATTTTCAACGACCATATTTGGAATGGCTACAAATATGTTGTATCGCTTAAGGTAGCAAATTTTACGTGAGTTATTAATTATATCTTAAAATAAATAATTTATTATTATTATTATCAGTATCAATTTTTCTCATAATATTGATTATTTAAAATTTAATGTTAAATATTAAAAAATAAATAATTTTTTAATATTTTTTATAATAAAATTAGAACTTTTTCAAAATTAAAAATTTAAACTCTCACAATTTTTATTTTTTTCTTTAACAATTTTTTAGTCTCCTTTTATGATTTTAACAATAAAATTTTTTACTCTTAAACAAGATTAATTTTTATTGGTTTAAATTTTACAGGTAATTTTTTTGAAAATACAATTTCTTCCATAATAATAATAATAATTTTATATATAATTTTATATTTTGAAAATTTATGCATTAGAATAAATATAGCGTTTAAAAAAGAAAAAAATAAGGACACATAATAATTTGAAGTTTTTGGAAGTAAACGTATATGTATATGATTTCATTTTTATCGCTTATATACATAAATACATATGTTATACTAATACGATCTTTATTGTAGATATTTTGCCTGCACCAATTACAGAAGCGGACTTTGTTCTGCACGAGGTGTTTTAAAAAATGATATATTTAAACTAAAAGGCCAACACAGTCATCCACGGATCGACAGGGAATTACAGGAACGTGAATTTAAGCAAGCCTTGTTTCGTGCAGTAACAACAAGTTCTGATAGTTATAAAAAGGTGTATGATAATGTGCGCAAACAGTGAGTATTATTTATCATTTCCTATCCATTATGGTTAAATTATATATTAAAATTATTTAATTTTTTTAAATTTCTGTTAAATTCATAAATTTTTTATATGTTCCCAAAATGTATTTATTTTTACAAACGAAACAAACTACTTGATGTTTTATCATGAATTATAATTTTTTTAAAAAACATACTGCTCAAAATTCTCAATTTGCCATTAGTTTCTCCTTTTATTCTGAAAATTCATAAAATTTTAGATTTTCTTTTTTTTAAATTATATTTCCGCAAATTTCGTTTCCATTCACTTCTTTAACTTCGGTGTTTTTTAATTTTTCATTTCTTTGCTTTTAATTTTCTAAAATCCTCGTGATTGAAAGAAATTTTTCCCTTTATTTGTTCTTATTTTTTCGAATTCCTACAATTTATTTATTTAGTTATATATAAATATGGCAACAACACGATTTTAGTCATTTTCCTAAATATGCAATTTTTAAAAATAAATTTTTTTGCAAAATATTAAGCTATTTTCAATTTTTTTTAACAATGCGAGTGATAAACTGTTTTATATTCTTGTTTTAAATTGGAGTGGAATAGTGAAAATTATAATTTTAAACCTCGAACATTTAAAAATGTAAGTTCAATAATAATAAATAATAATAAAATAATAATTTATACTCATATGGGTCGAAATATATTATACCGATATTTGATGAACATATGCACAGAGGGTCAACTTTTGCATACTTAACTCCCTATACTCTTTTTTCTGGTATTTGTAATGTGATTCGAGGAATTGATAATCTTTTTCATAAAAATCAGGAGTATTTTGAATTATATACATAATTTGTTTATTTTTTTCTAAAATTTTCAGGCATCCTGAAGCGGCTATCACTGTGACTTTCACTAGAATTAAAAATTTCATGTACAAATGGCGAAACAGTGATTTTCCATCCCCCGTGCACTCCCTACTTGCTTACGTTGAGAAAGTACGATCAGTTCAATGGAATCACTTATTAGAAAGTACAAACGGTACAATGGATGTTTCTTTAATTACGGGTGAAGATTCTTCAGAATCTTCACTATTTCTAGATCCCGAATTTGTGAGAAATACTTCTGTTAATGGTTATTTTAATGTGGATGCAACTTTTAAAGTTGTTCCCAAAACGATTGGATCGATGCAGTTACTTACAATTATGTCTTGGAAATACAATAAAGTAGGTTATCAATGCATATTCATTTTCTGCTTCTTAAAAAATGTCTATTATATTCATAAAATTATATTACTAAAACCTCTTAAGTGTAACAGTAAACTTATTTTAAAATATACAAGTTACAATAAAAACATGTTATATTAAAGAAATTGAAAGTAATAAATGTTATATTTTCACAGACTATATTTATAATTTGGGTGTTAATGGACAGTAAGACCATAGAAGCTTATACAGCAGTGTTTGAATGTATTGTAAGATTGATTCCAGAATATGAAATACAAGAAGTCCTGACAGACTATGAAAATGCCCTAAAAACAGCTTTGCGTAACGTATTTCCGAATATCATCTTACACGGTTGCTGGTTTCATTATAAACAAGTAAGTGTAATAAAATTTCTGCATTCTTTTCATAATAAATTAGCGATTAAAATATTGTTTTACAACGAATATAAAAGCTGTGTTTGAAAAAATATCTACATTTTTATTTTAAAATTGAGTTATTTAGTTACAAAAAATATATTTCCAGTGTTTTTCTAACATCAAGTGATTTATTTTTTTAATTGGACTTTTTAACTGTCATAGAAAAATTAAAGAAATTACATAATTTTTTGGAATTTTTTAGTAAATTTATTAACAAGTTTTTTGGAAAACTCCTAAAATCTTAAATTTTTTTATGATGAAAATTTATTTTAAAAAAATTTAAAGGTGAATTGAACGATGAGTGATCGTTCAATATACCTTTAAATTTTAATTACGGCAACCGAGTGATAAATTCAATTATTTATTTGAAAATTTATAAAATTATGCTTTTTTCTATATATTATTTTCTTAAATTTTTTAACTCATACTTTTTTTCATAAAATTCTCGTGTTTTTTTATTGATTTTCAAATAATCTTTAAATTTTTTTATTATTATTGTTAAATTCTTCTTTAATTTTAAATATTTTTAAAATTAACGATTTTTCTTTCAAAATTTTTTTTCAATATTATATTTTTCATTTTTTTGCCTAAACTTTTCGTGTTCTTCATTCTTTTTTAACTTTTGCTTTAATACATTATCTTTTTTTTTAATTTATGAATTTTTTTTTACTTCTTTAAAATGTTTGATGTCCTTTCATTCTTCGAGTAAATGTTTAGTCATTTAAAGAAATATCAAAAAAATTAGAGAATTTTTTTTTGAGAAGTTGTTTGACATCCAATCAATGTATGAATTTTGTATTAATGTTTAATAAGTATTTATCAAAAACAAATACAAAATGTTTGATTTTCATTATTAATTACAAATATTAGATATATTTTGTTTTAATAAATATTCTTTTGCAAACTAAAATTTTAATTTAAAGCTGAACAAATACCTAAAATTTTATCAAGTTTAATTTTAATCTGTCGAACTGTTTTTAAAATGTTTGAAAAATATTGATTAGGTACAAAATAATATGATTCACTCAATGTCTTTTTTATTTCTTAAAGGCTTTGCTGAGGAAAGCTTTGCAGCTTAAATTACATGCATTATTAAAAACCAATAAAGATGCTAAACATTTATTAGCACTTATAATTGCATTACCTCTATTATCTGCGCACCTTATTCGAAAAACATATGATGAAATTTGTCATGCACAAAGTCAATATATTAAAACAAAATTCCAATCTTTCTTTCAATATTACGAGCATCAATGACTAAGACAAGTAACGCCACAAGTTTTTACTATACACATGGCAATACATCGAACAAATAATTCAATAGAATCGTACCATAAAACGTTAAAAGATAAACTTGGAATTAATTCTCCAATGTGGGTCTTTACTAGTAGGTATATACTAGATACATCTTTAAATAATATATAATTTAAATTATAGTTTAAACAGAGTTCATTTTCTTCAAGATAGTATTTCCTTTAATTTTATATCTTCTTTTCTAAAATGTTCGTGTTTTTTTATTCGTCTATAATTTGTCCTTTAAATTATCGTTTTTTATAATTTATAAAACTTTTAATTTTTTTTCACTTTTTACGACTTTTTATTTCATTAAATCATTTATCCCATAATTTTTTTGTGAAGTTTTTTAACACCCTGATAAGTGCATTTTTTAATTCAATAAAATATTTAAATAGTTCACAAAAAATTAATTTAAAATCATTTATGAACTTTATTAACTGTATTATATTTTTTCCAATAAGATTTAAAATAATTTTCAGAGAACTTAATAAACATATATGACGGTTACAAAATGGACTTGGTATCTGTTGCAAAGGGATATACAGTTAATAGACAGCCAAAAATTATAACTACTAAAGAGCAGTTATTATTGCAAAACGCGTGGACCACATTTAGTCAACCAAATGGATTTCATCCTATTCAATTTTTGGAGCACGCTCTAAATATAAAATTTAATACTGTAGATGCGTACTTTACTCTTTTTGAGGATCAGTAATTTACATTTTACAGTCTTATAAATTATAATTTTTCAAAATTGTAATGCTGTGTAATAAACTTTATCAACATGTTGTTTCTATATTTATTTATATTAGTAATAAAGTATGACTTTGTCATATTTGAATAATTTTTTGCATCATAAAAAAAACTTTAAATTTGTTAAAGTGTTTTTTTTGAATAATGATAAAAGTATTTTCATAAGAAAATTTTAATTTTTTAAATTTAAAACCCAGAAAAATAGTAGATATTAATGCAAACACGTTGCACAGTGGTCCAAAATGGAAAATTACTGTTCACGAGGGGCTACAGCCTTCAATTTTTGATGGATTTGGACATTTTTTTTTTGAAATCTTCAGGGATAAATTCTCTAGGTCTCAGCTTCGCCTGATTTTTGAATTTCATTTTGCAAATTTTTTTATTTAAACAATTGTAATGAAAAATCACCCTACGTTGACATAATTTCTTGTATATTTTTGAAAAAACAGTTTAAATAAACTATTTAACTATCTTTTCAGTTGCATATGTGGACAAGGATAAAAAATGCACCATAAAAGAATTTTTTTTAATTGTTATTAACAATTTTTATAAACAAATTGCGGACTTTTTTAAAAATTCACCGGATTCGCTCGAAAATCTTCACTTGGGGGTTTTTGGGGTCGCTGATCACGAATCCGAAGTTAGTTTTTCAAAATTCAAAATGGCGGATCCAACATGGCGGACGACTTTTTTAAAAAGTGATCGGATTCGCTCGAAAATCTTCACTCGGGGGTTTTCGGGGTCGCTGATCACGAATCCGAGGTGCGTTTTTCAAAATTCAAAATGGCGGATCCAACATGGCGGACGACTTTTTTAAAAAGTGATCGGATTCGCTCGAAACTTGTTTCTCGGGGGTTTTCTAGGTCGCTGATAACGAATTTGACATCACTTCTTTAAAATTTACAATTGTTATCATCAATTGTTATAAACAAATACATATAAATAATCAGAAAGTAGAAAAAATTGCTTTTTTGATACAACAATCAAAATAGTAGTTTATACATAGGTCATAATAGAACATTTTAATGTTAGTAACCATTATTATTATTATTATTATTGTTATTATTATTATTATTATTATTATTATTATTTATAAATAGAATCTATCCCTCGGTGAATATTTAATAATAAATGATACGTTATCGATCTTTCCGAGTCAAGTAAGTTTTCAAAAAACTTACTTGCACACGTATATTGACTTACTTTGTCTAAGGTGCTAATAATTGTCACTCTCTTTTGTCTTCATCGTATTTCGTCTCAGTCTTGTCGAGATCTTCATCAGTAACTAATATAGCTTTGTATAAATCCATCGTGTATATAATTTGACATGTCATAATTTGACATGAAAAATTTTGTTGCGGTAATTGTCTTTTATTTCTTCTTTTGTATATAACTTTGTAAAAATTTATTTTAATTTATTTTGTAAAAAATTAATTTCTTATTAATAAAATTGTAGTTCTGAAGAGGACAGGGGAGCTGTCGAAACGTCAACAAAATCGATAACGTATCATTTATTATTAAATATTCACCGAGGGATAGATTCTATTTATAAATAATAATAATAATAATAATAATAATAATAATAATAATAATAATAATAATAACAATAATAATAATAATAATAATAATAAAAATAATGGTTACTAACATTAAAATGTTCTATTATGACCTATGTATAAACTACTATTTTGATTGTTGTATCAAAAAAGCAATTTTTTCTACTTTCTGATTATTTATATGTATTTGTTTATAACAATTGATGATAACAATTGTAAATTTTAAAGAAGTGATGTCAAATTCGTTATCAGCGACCTAGAAAACCCCCGAGAAACAAGTTTCGAGCGAATCCGATCACTTTTTAAAAAAGTCGTCCGCCATGTTGGATCCGCCATTTTGAATTTTGAAAAACGCACCTCGGATTCGTGATCAGCGACCCCGAAAACCCCCGAGTGAAGATTTTCGAGCGAATCCGATCACTTTTTAAAAAAGTCGTCCGCCATGTTGGATCCGCCATTTTGAATTTTGAAAAACTAACTTCGGATTCGTGATCAGCGACCCCAAAAACCCCAAAGTGAAGATTTTCGAGCGAATCCGGTGAATTTTTAAAAAAGTCCGCAATTTGTTTATAAAAATTGTTAATAACAATTAAAAAAAATTCTTTTATGGTGCATTTTTTATCCTTGTCCACATATGCAACTGAAAAGATAGTTAAATAGTTTATTTAAACTGTTTTTTCAAAAATATACAAGAAATTATGTCAACGTAGGGTGATTTTTCATTACAATTGTTTAAATAAAAAAATTTGCAAAATGAAATTCAAAAATCAGGCGAAGCTGAGACCTAGAGAATTTATCCCTGAAGTTTTCAAAAAAAAAATGTCCAAATCCATCAAAAATTGAAGGCTGTAGCCCCTCGTGAACAGTAATTTTCCATTTTGGACCACTGTGCGTTGTGTTTAGATTAAGTTCAACCCAAAATACATAGCACATCGCCGTTTTTAACGTTTTCTAATCATTTTAAGAACAAAATGAAAACAATAATTGTAAGAAATATAAAATTATCTTGATCTTACATTTCTTTATTTTTAGTTGTAAATTGTAATTTAAAAAACATAAAATTGAATTTTCTTTATATGCAAAACATGTATGCTGGTATCAACAAAAAGTCTCTACAATAATAAATTCATTCACATTTATTAAATTATAAAAGTTGTAAAAAAATAATAGAAAAAGATGGATTTCCTTTATTTTTTCGAAATTTTGTTTTGGAATACTCACTTTGCACAAAAATTAACAAAAGATGAATAAATAAAACAAAATTTTTCATGACATGTCAACTTTAGCTTATTATATTTATTAAAATAACTTTTTTTCATGCTCTTTCTGTGGTGCAAAAAAATGTTAAATTTACCCCTGTTTCGAAATTTCTTATAGAAGAAATCCCTTTTTTTATCTATTAAAATAAAGCTTAAGATTGGAAGCTTTTGTTATTCCGCATCCAATGAGCTCTATAATATATAAAATTTCTTTCTTTATAGAAAAAATATTTTTAGAAATTATAATTTAAAAATTTTTATTGTTTGTCTTTCATTTAAAAAACATTATTTAAAACTTTTTTAATTAATTTTATCTGGATTTATTAACATAATTGAATTGTTTCTTTTGTATCGAATTTCAACATCTATTTTTTCAATTTGCTATAGATAACAAAACCAAGAACATTCTACATCACTTATTAAAAAAATTGTGTATGAACATAAATATAATAATATTTTGTTTTTGTTAATGAATTTTTTGTTGATGGATTTTACTATATATTATATAGTAAAAAAAAAATTTTCATGGAATTTCAAAAAAATGTTATTGTCAACTTAAAATAAACATTGTTTGCTTTTTCTTGGTTGTAATAATGCTGTTTTATTTAAATTTAATATCCCCATAAAACTGAAATTGATATTTACCTGGATTTAAGTAATAATATTTAAATAGAAGTTGAACAGAACTTTCCGAAATAAGCAGCAAGTACCTTAATTTCTATTAAGTTAAGAGTATCTAAGCTTGAAAAAAATTGTTTCTCACGATATTTATGTTAAAATGACAGTATTTTTGTTAATTGATTGTTCTCATTATGCATTATAAATAATTCTATAAATTTCAAAAGTTATTAATATTTATAAATATAAAATATTTACTATTATTTATAAATTATAATTAAATTTTTTTTGTTTCATAACATAAATATTATTTTTTTATTTAATTCTTCTTTTCATTTTACCTATACTTCCATTACATTATTCTTAGGAGGATGAAATTTTAATTTATAAAAATTACTCCTAATGTTTTATTTATAGAAATAAAACATAATATTTTTAACATTGCTTAGTTTATAATATATCGCCCACATCTCTAAATCAGTGCTTGATATATAAGGGAATTAAATATAATTAAAGAAGGAAATCTGCGTATTTTCAATCCATTTTTTCTTGGCAAATAACGTATGTGAATTTAAAGGTGGTAAGTATGAAGAGGACTTAAAAATTTTATTCCCCCCACCTATATTTTTCTATATTAATATTTCTAATAGGGAGCATCATATTTTAAAAATCCCGCAAATTGTTTTCCAAAACAGCCAATTAGAATATAAGAGTTCTCACGTGATAAAATCTACGGCGCAGTAGTCATAAAGTTTCTCAAAAGTCTCTTTGATTCTTAGGTTCATTTTCATCGTGGATGCCCGCTGGGTTGACTTTGCACGCGCCAACAGTTTTCATCATTTCTTAATAGAGAGTAATTTTACGGACATAGTGAAAAGTTAAAATTTCAGTTAATTTATTACATATTTTATTTTGATATTTAGTGCAGTGCTTAATTGAAACCGCATGGCAGTAGCTTGATTCATAAGGAGCCAGCAATTTCTTTCAAGGTAAATTGAAATTGAGATATAAATATTTATAATGACATTTAATATAACAATCGAACTTTATATTTATTTTTTTGTATATTAATTTAAAAATTATTGATAATTTTTAATTAATTATTATTCAAAAGCAAAATTCTTGACACTTTTTCTTTGCAGATAAAGATTTTACTTGAAATATGCCAACTTAAAAATATACTTTATCATAATTTTTTTTATCGGTTAATTCTGTGTAATATTTTTCAAAGTGTATCTTGATTTTCTGTAATTTAATCGCTTCTTTAAAATTTGTTTTCACTAAAATAAATACATTTAATTTTAAATTGAATTTTTGCGCAAACAATTCCTTTAAAGTGCCCTTCTTTTGTTTTCAAGGTGACCGCTAGACGATCAGATGAAAACATTGGTGCGCGTTATATATATATATATATATATATATATATATAGAGAAAGAGAGAGAGAGAGAGAGAGAGTGAGAGAGTGTAGGGATGTTTTTATCTTGGTATATTTATATATAGGCCTTTGTAAAAAATATCAAATTTTCGTTTTATTATTTCCTTTAAAGTTTAAGGTTATATCTCACAAATAGTTTATCTCACAACTTAATATTAAAATTTTAAGTCTTTAATTAAATTTTACAAAACATGTAAATAACTTATTTTGATAAAAATCAACATATCTTTTAATGTTAAAGAAATTGATAGAGAAATAGAAATTTTTTAACGTAAAAAAATAGAGACATATCAGTCGGTTCTAAAATTAATTTGGTAGAATTAATAAAATTTCATTTCCCGAAATTCACTTTTAACCGAATGTTTATTTGTTTCAATTATTATTTAACAAAATTGTTACTTCAACAAATTTTTAGTTTACAGATTTTTTTTTCATCAAATTGTTCCGAGTTATTATGTGCTTAAATTTTCAATAGACAAAATAAATATTTAAAAATAATTTTTTATTTTATAGAAAAAATATTAGAAAAAATTTTTTTCTTCTCCAATTTTTTGTTGTTTTAATTTACATTTAACAGAATTCTTAAAAAGGTAAATTTTTATTTTACAGCATTCTTATTTGTTCAAATAAATAAAAAAGCAATAAAATTTAGTCGTAATTTTCAAATGTAACAAATCAGAAGTTTACAATGAAATTATAATTAGTTAATTGAAAAATTGCAACTAAACATTTTTTTTGCAATTTGTTTATGTGAAAAAAATGTGTGATGTAAAATGAAAATTTGTCCTTTTCAGAAATCTGTTGAATGTAAATTAAAATAAATAAATGTTATATAGAAGGACAAAATTCTATCTAATATTTTTTCTGTAAAATAAAAATTATTTTAAATAAATATTCTATGAAATGAAACTTCAAAGGAATAACAACTCGAAAAAACTCGATAAAATAAAAAATCTGTAAAATAAAAATTCCTTTAAGTAACAATTCTGTTAAAAAATTAATTAATTAATAATTAATTTCTGTTTAATAATTTAAAAAAAAAATTTATTTGTTTCAAATATTATTTACGAAAATTGTTTCTTGAACAAATTTTTAGTTTACAGATTGTAAAAAGTAAAATGAAATGTGGTGTTACGTAAGTAATTGTTTTTTTAAAAACTTTTTTACATTTTGTTTTTTAAACTCATTTTTTCAATGTAATTCATATTCATATCGGAGAGATATATTTTTTAGAGATATTTGAATTAAAACATTGTTGTACCATTTTTTCTTTTTTTTATAACATTTGTTCTTTTTATCCTACAAAAAAAAGTTCTGAATGTTTTTTACTCTAAAAATGTTTAATTCAAAATTTACATACTTATTTAACACCAAAATGTCTCTCAAAACCTAAAAGTAAAGAAAAATCTGAGACATCATATGTCGTTCTCATAAGAAACTCCCCATATGTTTTCAGCTATCTTTTATGTAAATACCATAGAAAAAGAAGTTGTCCAGGATGAGGGGTAATTAAAAGAGACGGTAATTTCAAACTTACCGTGCAACACTCACATACGCAAAACGAACGTGAAGAAAGAATTTTATCATTTAGAAGGGAGTTATATAACAGCTCCATTAGCCAGCCAAACACTCCTCGAAGTATTTATCAGACTTTCAGTCCTTTGTAAGTTTTAATTATCAAAAAATTATAAACATTGATCTTAAAATACTTTTTCAATATTTATCATTTTCACGTTCAGTGCCATTTTTATAGGGCGATAATTAAATGCCAAAGAATTTTTAGAGACCGTTCGACACTTTTAAGTTATTTTTTATTTGTATGTTTCAAAAAAATTAAAAAAATCAAAGTAACATAATAATTTTTAATTCATTTTTGTAGGCATGAAAATTTTGAAAATGATCTTCCATTTAATGCCACACAAGCAAATATGACAAGATGGAAAAATTCACACAGTCCAACGGAAATTCCGAATGACTTAAATCATTTTTCAGCAACAATAAACAAACAAATTTGGATGAATTTACGTAATTATATTGGAGGATCACTTGAATACATTTTAATAACTGGCGATGAGTTTAATTCTATTTTAATTATTGATCCGCAATTCTCAAGACCATTACTAGAAATTGGCAACTTTTTAATTCATATTTCGATAACAACAATTCCTTCTTCTGTATGGTGCAAACAAATGTTATCCTTAATATGCGTCAAAAGTGGCTATGTAAGTAATTATAATTATTCATTTTGCTCTCTTTCCCCCTTTTCGATTTTTTAAAAATGGATAATATGGGCTCAAGTATCTAGAATGCATATATTGCCTGTGTCACAAAATCTTATGCACAAATTATTTCCAATACGCTTTGATGGATTGTCCTGAAATTTTGTAGACTTATTACAGTCAATAATATCTAAATTTAGACACAAGGATTTCCAAAAAAATATCCACATAAATTTGTTTATGTCCCCTTTTCAAAAATTCGAAAATACGTTTATTAACCAAAAAAAATTTTTACACTGCAAATTAAATTTTGTTTGTTTACTACTTTTTCACTTTCTATTCAGCGCAACACGCCCATTTTTCTTTTTTTAAGTGTTAATTTTTTTACATAATAAGTATTTACTTTATTAATTTTTTTTAATATATCAAATAATAAATCAATTATATAATAGGAATTCCAATTAATTGCAAGCCATTGAAATAATGGGTTCGATATACTCAAAAACCATTCAGCTCTGTAAATATTGGATAAAAGTAAAAATAATAAATAAAAGTTATTTATAAGGTAAAATATTGTGAAAAAAAGTTATGAGAAGATTAAAAGAATAGTTGGAGAGTCAATTTATGCATGTAAATATTAGTTAATTATTAATTCTTTAAAGCTTAATTTATTACAATTCTTACATAAATGGATTCTCCAACTATCCTTTTAACCTTATCATAACTATTTTTTTACAATATTTTACCTTATCAATAACTTTTTTATTTTTCACTATTTCCCAATATCCACCGAGCTGAGTGGATTTTAAGTATATCGAATTCGCTAGGGTATATTTTTAAAAAATATTAATTGTTTTAATCATTTATTTAGCTAATCCCATGTGCCTGGGCACTCATGGACACAAATTCTACACAAGCATACACAGCTATTTTTGAAAAAATAAGAGACATCACTCCAGAGTTTAAAATGATTTCGGTTCTAACAAATTTTTCAAACTCATTGCACACAAGCATTTAACAAGTTTTTCCTGCAGCCATAATTTCGGGACGTTTGTTTCACTATCAGGAGGTATTTATGACTAATAATAAATAAAAACTTTTAAATTCAAACAAAATAAATATTTAATATAGACCGTATTCACTTTAAATTCCACATGCTAAACATACTCGAAGCTGAAAAAAAAATTTTTCAGAAATTTTGTTTTTCAAAGTTTCTTAAACAAAACAGATTTTTTATTTGGCTAAAAAAATTTGGTTTTAAATAGTAGAAAATATGAGAAAAGTAACAACCAGTTTGCTCAAAATATTTAAATTCAAATTACTTAAAACCCTCAACTTCTTCTTTGTTCCAATTTTTTTTTGTAATCGTGTTCATACACGTTCTCAATATATTTCGCAAATTTTCAGCTACGATAATGTTTAGTCTCCCAATTTTTACAAAATTAATAGTCAGAAATTTAAATTTTTATTATTTATAATTAGGTAAACACTATTAAAATCATTTCTTTATGTAAAGATAAAACAAATTCCATACTTATAAAAACTGTAATGGAACAGTAAATTTTTTTTTTTTTGAAAATGTTAAGGTCATGTGATTTTTATGTCTATAATGTTAATTTGTCCGAAAAAAGTTTCAACTCAATCCATTCAGCATTTTATTTTTTTCACTTTTAATACCAAAATTTATATTTCTTTTGAAAAAAGATAAATATTTACATTATAAACATTAAATCAATAAATGAACCTACCAATTTGACAATTCGCCCAACACTTAGCTGCACGCAGTAGTAACATTTAAACATGCAAGAAAGTTAAAAAAAATTGACATTCAAAATTTTGTTTTTTCAAAATCATTACCTTATAAGAAATTCAGTGGCTAAACTTTTTTTCTTTTAAATTTTTTTTTATTAAATGAACATTTTAGATAATATTGACAAAACAAGGAAACAATTTTATTCTCAAATTTCTCTCAATTTTTAAAACATAAATCGTTGCATCTTTGACAAATATTGATCAATTCACTTAAAATTTGATATATACATAAATTTTATTAATATCATTTCAAAATCCAAAAACTTAACAATTTTAAAAAATACATAAATTTTGTACAAGATAGTAGTTTTGAAAAATAAAAATTTCGAATTTCAATTTTTTTGACATGTTTTACTAGTCGATCAGGTTGCACTTTGATCAAATTGGGAGGTTCAATTTTTACAATGAATACTTTTAAAACTAATACTATCAATTTTTTAGGAAGTTTACAAACTGACTATCCAGCATGGGCTAATTAATTATTTAATTCAAAATGATGACCGAGAAATTAAGGAATTTCTACAATTTATCTTCACTTTGCCACTTTTGCCATCTCAAGTAATTAATTAAACATTTTCTGAAAAAATTGAAAGTCTTAGTGCAAATGCTTATATCGTGCTGCAAGTATTTTTCTTAAACTATGACCGAATTTGGTTAAGACAAGTCACTGCAAATAAATTCAGCGTCCACAAAAATTTTGAACGATGTACTGACATGTTCGAAAATTACAATACAACCTTAATATCAGAATTTGGGCTTTATCCTATGGTGTGGAAATTTCCAGGTAAAATATTTATTATAACGAAATTTTTAATTGAAATAAATAAAAATTTTTACAATTAACATTTTTCAAAACAACAAAAACATAGTCTCCAAATATCACAATTGTTTGCAGCAATTTTACAGAAAGTTTACAATACCAAGTTGGCATGGTAAATTAGCTGCAAAATTGTGGCAAATAGCGATATGTCCAAGCGTTTTAAACTTTACATTGCAAAATAATTTGCTGCAAGTTTTCTTTAAGTTTCCTATAAAAATTTTCTACAAACTTACAATGCAAAATTTAAAAAGGCTCGATATATCACATATCACTTGTGACATCTGTGTCTTTTGGAATTTTAAACTTTTGTCGATATTTTTTTAATTTTCTTTGCGTTTTTATTATTTAAAAGTTTTTATTGGCTTTAATTTTTCTAAGTTTTATCGAATGCATAAAAAAATGCGATTGAAAAACAAAAAGTAGGAACCAAATATAATGATATCTGCGATATAATAAAGCTGTCATAATATTATTTTCCTACTTCTCGTTTTTCAATCGCATTTTTTTATGAATTCGTACAATCTTTCGGATTATTAATTATAGGGCGATAATATATTAAAGGTTTCTCCTTGCCAAAGAATTTCAGAGACCGTTAGACACTCTTAAATTATCTTTCTTGTGTTTAAATAAGTTTATTTTCACATGAATTTATAAAATTCTAATATTATTTTATATGTGAATTAAAGTAGCACTTTGCAAAATACAAGCTCATGGGTTCAGAAACAAAAAAAATCGACGATGAATATTTAAATGGAATTAATGCACTGAAATTATTAAATAGACGAAGTATATCAAGAATTAGAAATTCATTGAATAATTTAGAGTTGTCAACAATCACAAAAACTGAATTCATTAATCAATGTCGTGGAATTTACGCAGAATCGAGAATTGAGTATTTCAATGTAAGTCTTGAAGGATTTGAAACAGAGGACATGTTAGAATTAATCAATTTTTCTAACAATGACGCTGATGTTGAACGTAAGAATTTTTCTTTATTTGTATTAAAAATATTTAAATTATTTAATAATAAGAATAATAACAATACCCAGATAGCACAACTTCTTGCATGGACCTTGTAATGGTATTACATAGCAAGACATGCAATATTACACTGCAATATTGGAGCAAGCCTCCTGCAAGATTAAAACGTCAACATTGCATGGCAATCTTGAGACAGCATTACGTTGTAGTATCGAGGCAATATTTCACCCAAAGATTCGCATATTAAAAATATTTTTTATATTGTAACGATAGGCCTATCGTAAGAATACTCGCCCGGCGAAGAGAGAGAAAGTAGACGGCGTAAGTAGCAGCGTCTCTCTCTTCCCCCACCTCGCGCTAACGCCTTTGGCTACCTAGCGAGAGTATATACCTGGCGGCTCGCACCTTTTTCCTCAGTTCGTCTTCCGACTGGCTTTGAGGTGCACCTCTGGCTAGATGGAAGCGTTCTCACTCCTAGTTCCTGGCTACCTGGATTTAATTGAGGCGCTCCTCATTGAATTCAGGTAATGCAAGGTATGGTACACTTGATTATGGGTGCTTCCGTGTCAAGTGAACCTTAGTTTACCTTCTTGTTCCTTATCAACTTGGACTCTCTGTAGGTGCTCCTGCGAGAGACCGAGAAGATACCTTCATGTACCTAGAACGTCATCCTTGCGACTTTTCTGTAGGTGCTCCTGCGAGAGGATGCGAGTATGACGTCACTACCAAGAACCTAGAGTATCGTCTTCGCGACTTCTCTGTCGGTGCTCCCGCGAGAGGACGTAGAGATAGGTACTTCCTTTCTCGTTCACCGCCCCAGGTGAGTAGAGGGGCAATCTCTATTACCTGGATGCGAAGCTCATGGCCGTATCTTTAACTCAGGGTGCCCCCTGGTCTAAGATATTGCCCAGAGATGTTCCTTAATTTTCCTAGTTTACGTCAGGCAAGAGTATCAGGTACATACCTGATTCTTCAACCCAATCGTTTCTTTTCTAGTTTTCTCTGGAAACGATTATCTCACAGTGCACGTTCTAGTTTACGTTTGCCTTGAATTGCTTTACTTACATGTTGGATTTATACGGGATCAACTCCTGGTGAACGCGATCGCGAATATTAAAGGTACCTTGTATCATTTCAGAAAAGAAACTGGCCAGAACAATACGGTAGAGGGCGGTGCTGTCCAGTCACTCGAGATTTTCGGATGACCTACTCATCCTAGTTATTATTTGCATTATATCGAGCCATTTGTCTATTTATTGTTTTACATATTGTTTTATATTCTTTATATTCATATATTCCTTGTACCTTCATTTAACTTCCTTTTGTTACAATATATAAATCTTTCGAAGGTTTTAAATAAAGACTCGTTATTGACTACACCTCTCCTCTCAATCATAGTACGCAAATAGTTCCATAAGGCTAAAATTGATGGCGCTTCACGCCACAAGTAAGAATTAAGTGAACACAAGGACTCGGTCCCCATCCGGCGAGCGAATCCTTTGGCAACACAAATTTAGATCATTACAATATAGAAGCGAATCTTGGGGTGCAATATTGCATCAATATTATTTCATGCTTGCATTAAAATTTTAGACTAAAACGGAAATTGTAATTTTATCTTGTCCGAAGCTTACCATGTAATATTGTCCGAGACTTTCGTTGCATAATTGCTTCAATATTACGACGTAATGCTGTCTCGAAATTTCCATGCAAGGTTGATGTGAGGCGGAACTTTTTATTCTTGCCGGAGGCGTGCTCTAATATTGCAGTGTAATATTACATATCTTGTCATATAATACCGTCACAAGGTTCATGCAAGAAATTGCGCTATCTGGGTATTTTCACCCATATGTTTAAAATTTTTTAAAATTTTTTAACAATAGCTAAAAACTATTTTTTTTTGTTTTAATAATTTAAAACAATTTAATTTGATAAAGATATAATATTTAATTATTGAAACCCAATGTTTCACCTTCTTTCGAAAAATTAAAATTTAATTGTTGACCCTTTGTCTTTCATGTGTCCCAATATGATTAATTTTAAAAACAATGTTTTGTTGAGTTGAGAATAACTTATGAAAGGCAGAAGCTTAATATTTTATAAATTAACTTATGTTTTTACAGATTTAAATTTTTTTCATATTTCCATAAAAGCTAAGGCATTAATTTAATTTCAATTTTCATATACATATATAGCGAGTTCAAAGATGTTGCAGAATATGTCCATCAGGGGCAGAATAAAGAGGGTGAGAATTGAACTTTATTGTTCATGATTCTTCATGTCATTTCAATTTGTCTTTGTCTTTCGGTATTTCTCCATTTCTCTAAAGATTGTGATAAGGATATTAGACTTTATCATGTTACATGTTTATCAAAATAACTGTTTTTATATTAATAAAATGGTTTTTTATTTAGCTCATCCATGGTCCGTAATATTATTTGCAATTAATAACAAATAAAACATATTAATACCACAAAATAATAAAATTATTACTGTAAGAGTACGATCAGATCAACAATAGGAAATTTTACATATGCATTATAAAGAGTATCTCACTCACACACATGAACAGGATTTGACATAATGGTACTCTTACGATCCAATGGGCGAAATCATTAAAATTAATAATATTATAATAAATATAATTTTTCATTCAATTGCTTCCTCATAAAAGAAATATGATTAAAAAAAAAAAAACGTATCGCTTTCAATATTTGGAATCCTTTTTCGATTAATGACCGTCCATGTCCCAGTATCCGTCCATTTTACAAATATCTCGTATAGTAATTTAAATTATTTTTTAACAATAATTTATTCCTTTTGGCACGCAATCGACTTATTAGTTTAAGTAAACAAATAAAAGAAAATAATTTTTTTATAAATGTTATTTTGAAAATTAAACTGGACGGAAACTAGGTTTTAGGTGGACGGCAACTGGGACATCCACGGTATAACAAAGTTAATGAATTTAAAAAATTCTATGTTTCACTATTGTTTTTATTATAAAAAAAATTCTTAAAATCTCCATTAGGAAGCAAAATGACCACAAAAATTTAAACTTTAACTTTCTAGCGATTTTATACTAACAATTTTTGAATATATGCAGATAATGAATTGCAGTTCGATCAAAATCGCCGTAGAGAGGAGAATTTCGAAGGTAAAAAATTTACTTGTTTGTTGCTTAAAAAATTAATAATACATCTATTAAGGAAAATTTAAACAATTGTTATTTTTGTACAAATATAGTTGCTGCTCCTCAAGGAGAAATTACTGAACATGAACAAGGTAATATGAATTTTTAAATTTTTCTTTATTAAAATTTATAAGCCAAATCAAAGAAAAATAAAATTGTAATAAATTTAGTTTCTCTTATCTGTATAAAAACGTCAACGGAAAGCGTGAACCATGTAAGTAAAAGAGACAATAATATATGTTACTCTCTTTTAGTAACATGGTCTGCGTTTTCTGCTAACGCTTTTACGCAGACATGAGACGGCACCAAGATTATATATATATATGTAATAAAATATATCATTTTTTCCTAAATATAGTCCAAGTCATTTGCTGTATTTGCCGTAACATCGAAGCAACATATTGCTTTCGTCCTTGTGGACACTTGGCAACTTGTGAAGAATGTTGCGTATCATATGAGGCTCAAAATATTGCAAGGGATGAAGATGATCCTATGAGGAAAAAATGTCCAGTTTGCAGAAGGGAGTATGATTGTACTCAAAAAGTAATACCCCAAAGTGTATGTATAATTACCAACATTTCTATATTTTTACGTTTTTTTACAATTGAAATCGTCAATTGAATGGAAACTTATGCTTTACAATTGATATTTAAAAAAATATCGTGTCGGAATTAACATTCTATTTCTAATTTAGTTTTACAACATTACATCTATATTTATTTGCTGAACTATAATTATCTAAAACGCAAATGATCTAAATATTTTAGAAAATATAATTTAATTTTTATTATTACCCAGCAAGAAGTTGTGCTATCTGGGTATTTTCACCCTTATTTTAAAAATATTTTTAAATTATTTAACAATAGTTAAAAACTATTTTTTTTGTTTTAAAAATTTAAAACAATTTAATTCGATAAAGATATAATATTTCAATTATTTAAACCATTTTTAAAGTATATGCAGAATTCAATTTCATAATATTTAGATTAACAAAAAAATTTTTGTAATTTTTTGCAAAATTCATACACTGAAAAAATTTTGATACAGCAACTGCTCCAAACGAAAGATTTTTATATTCAATTAACTTCATACTTAATATTTGCCATGAGTTTTTATATGAATGAAGTTAATACAGAATACAGAAATTTTTCGTTTGGGGCAGTTGCTGTACCAAAAAGAATATTTTAAAAAATAGACATTTTTATATTTATTGAATAATAATTCTCTTTTTATGTTAAAAAATTAAGTTGTGAATTTAAAAATATTTTTAGAAAATGCAATAACATTTAACAAAATAATTAAATAATTTGTTTTTTTTCTTTTTTAAAATGAATAGAAATTCGTAACTGCGACCTTGTCTATAACTATATATTTATTTTATTTAACACTAAGATAAACAAGCTCTTTTTATGAATGTACTTTTAAAAATATAATAAATAATTATTGTAAAACAAAAAAAAACTAATGTTGCTTTGCAGAATCCTTAAATGCAACAAGAATTTATTTTCTTGAATTTTCATTGAGACAGAATAATAAATATGTAGTCATTTAAATTAATTTTTTATGATAGGATAATATTTATTGTGAAAAATAAATTTTTTTTAAAAATGACTATTCTGTCTAATGCAAATTTGAAAAATCAATGATTCTGTCCGATTTGTTTCAGTAATAATTTTTTAGTATTGAAGTTTTGTTAAATGGAATTTATATTAAATAAAAACAATCAAATAACAGCAATTTCATGGTAATATAAAATTAAACAGACTACTTTTAAAGCTTATACGTGTTTCCCGTTTATTCAATAGAAGGAAATTAATTTTGCAAAATATTCAATTAACTTCATAGTTAATATTTTCCATGAATTCCATAATTCCATGAATGGAAAGACATTATTATATTTATTGCATAATGATTCCCTTTTTATGTTTAAAAATTAAGTTGTGAATTTAAAAATATAAAAAAGATGCATTAACATTTAATAAAATTTGTGTTTCTTTTTATTTCTTTTTCAAATATCTAGAAATTCGAAACTGTAACCTTGTTTATAACCCTATATTTCTTTTGTTTAACACTAGGACGGAGGAAACCTTTTATATGAATGTATTTTAAAAAATATAACAAATAAATACTGTATTTTGAATTTCAATTGATTAAAAAAATTATTTATATACATTCATAGCAATTGATTTTAAAATAATTTATTAACTTTTTAAATTATCAAATCAGTAAAAAAAAGAAAAACATGTATTCAAAATTATTTATTCAAAAGTATTTTCACTTACCTTACATTTTATCCTAAGCACATTTAAAATTCACGGGAAAACTTCTCGTTTGTGAAGGAAATGATGAGAAGCGCTATCTACATTTACTATACAGTCGGTAATACACAACCAGTGATGGGAATCTCACTACAGAAATAACTATTAGGGAGAATTTCTTTCATATACAAATTATATGACATAAAAATTCGGACAAATGAAAATTCCTTTTTATGGCTAATGTATGTAATATAAATTTGACAATATGACAATTATGACAATCTAAAATTCTAACATATATATATTCTATCGAATAAAAGTTCAGTTAAATAATAATTATACTACATAAATATTCATCATAATAATAATACTGTCACAAGCTATTTCAACATAATAAATATTCGGGTATAAAAAATTTCTATTCAATAAAAATTTACCAATTAAAAAATTCATCTAAATAATTATTCTTTCTAATAAAATTTCTAAAAGATAAAAATTCTGATAATTAAAAATTCCATGAAATATAAATTCATTCAAATGAAATTTTTATTATATAAAAATTCTGTCATGTGAAAAATAGGTTAAATGGAAAATCTATCAAATTATTATTCGAAGCAATAAAAATTAGGTTAAAAAATATTCTTTCTAATAAAATTCTATAAAATTAAAATTCGTTCCAATAGAAATTGTGTTTAAAGAAAATTAGAGAAAATGAAAATTCTGACAAATGAAAATATGATCAAATAAAAATTCTTAAAAATAAAATTTATAATAAATAAATATTCTATGATATAAAAAATCGATTATATGGAAATGTTGTCAAATAATTTATTTATTTATTTATTTGGAACATAACGGGACATGCCCTTTCGTACAAAAGTACTCCTAAATCTAAAAATTACAATACTATATTTTACTAAATCTAGGTAGCCACTTAAGAAAAGATATTTTAGTTTTCGTTTAGCCTCTCTGCTAAGTCTAGCAATCAATGAGTTATTACCATAATTAGTTCTGTGAAATGCCACCGAAAACAATGTATATCGCCTAGAAAACATTCTGGGCACTGATAAATTTATCATAGAAAGAAGTGAAGGACAAAAGATAGCTCCATTCATTAGTCTATACAAAAAAGCCATATCTGCAAAGTAGAACCGTGAATTTAATAATGGTATATTTAATACCGATCTAAGTTCCCTGTAATCATGTGTATGCACGTCAAAGGGGTTATTGAGCAATCTCGCAGCAAATCTAAGAAATTTGTTCTGAACACGTTCAATTCTGATTATATGGAAGACGTAGAAAGGTGCCCAAATGATACATGCATATTCTATAATTGTTCTGACAAGCGTCAGGTATAAAGTCCTGATGGTTAACATGTTATGAAAAACAGAGGCACATCTCATTATAAAACCCAAAACTTTAGAGGCTTTTGAAACAGTCTCAGTAATATGATCATTAAATACTAAATTACTATTAAATACAACACCCAAATCACGCACCCTCTCCACTCTCTCCAAAATATGACCATCAATAGTGTAGTTGTTTAAATATAAATTTGCACTACCTTTCGAAAAGTTTACAACAAAACTCTTTTTAATGTTTATACTTAAATGATTTTTAACACACCATTTTTGGGGTCTTTTTAAGTCTTTTTGTAACTTCAAAATATCTTTTTGAAAGGTAGACGGATGAATCGCTTTATAACACTTGAGGTCGTCAGCATAAAGTAAGAACGAGGAGTGCTTGAATATTTGCTTAATATCATTCATATATAAAATGAACATTAAGGGACCTAGGCGTGATTCCTGTGATACCCCAGAGGTTGCTACAAAAGGATCGCTAAATTCACCACCAACGCTTACCACCTGATACCTGTCAGAAAGATAATTTTTGAAAAAAAGAACAATGTTGTCAGAAATGCCTAGTGATTTCAATTTATTTATAAGTATATTATGGTCCACCTTATCAAACGCCTTCGATATATCAGCATAGATAACATCGACTTGCAATCCCCTTTCTAATATTTCTGTTAAAAAGGTTGTAAAAATACCCAAATTTGTTACAGTGGATCTACCCCTGACGAAACCATGCTGTTCATCAATTATAGCTTCAGAGACCGATGTATAAAAATTATCATAAATTATACTCTCAAATATTTTTGCAAAAACACTTAAAATTGTTATAGGCCTATAGTTCTGGGTATTGTTTTTATTATCAGACTTATAAACTGGAGTTATCATTCCCTTCTTCCATTCATATGGAAAAACACAATATTTTAGCGATTTATTAAAAATTATAAACAAAGGTTCAATTAACGAATATCCACATGACTTTACAATGAATGGAGAAATTCTATCGGGACCTGGCCCCTTACTGACATCTAAGTCTTAAATTTTTTTGAAAATATCATTTCTATTGATTGTTATTGAATTTAGGTTCACATCAAATTTATGATTGAAGGTTAAATCTGGGACATTAGCAGAAGGTAATGTGTACAGTGACTTAAAGTGTTTCGCAAAAAGATTAAAAATTTCTAAATATGTATCACCAGATTCATCCTTATAAAACATATATGTGTAGGAATGTTATGATCTTGACGATTAGATTTAACATAGTTCCAGAATTGTTTTGGATTATCCAAAATAGATTTTTCAACATTTGATATATAATTATTGTAACAAATTTTAGAAAGTTTTTTACATTCTGACCTTAATTTGGAAAATTTTAAATAATTTGTGTTACATTTATTTCTAGTATAACTTAAATGAGCAGTCTTCTTATCATAAACCAAGTTTTTTAATTCATTTGAAAACCAAGGTGGGAAATTCGAAGAGGCAATATGTTTCAGTGGTGTATGAATATCAAAAATATCATACAAATGTTCTTAAAAAATAGTCACAACGTTATCAACATTCTCATCACTCAGTAACAAATTCCAATTAGTTGAATTTAATAAGGTAACAATACCAGCTATATTAGCTTTCCTGAAATCATAAGCTGCATTAAGGTTTTGCGCACTATTATGACAAATATTTTCATGAACATTAGAAAAAACCTTTATCAATAAACATGGATAATAGTTATGTAGCATCAATCTAATTGAAAACTGAAGTTACTATAAACTTTCATGTACGTACGATACCACTGCCAATTGTTCGGGGTGAAGTAAATATTTTCTACTTAATATAGGTATTGCAAAAAAATCAGAAACAGTACATTTTTTTTACTTAATCTTTAACTTAATCAAAATATGTATTTTTTGTCACAAAACAATTTAAGTTATGATAATAACTTTATCATTTGTATAAATAAATATTATTCTTATTTACAAACGTATTAAGGATTTTACCACGGAAGAAGTAGTTTTCACAAATTTTGCAATTTACCAAACTTTATTTGCACACTGATTTATATTTAAAATAAACTTATTTGTTCAAACAATTTTTAAACAAAGGACAATTGCTGTTTACTAACTTTTTACATAATGGAGTTTTTCCTAATTTTGCAATTCACCATACTTGAAATAAATATTTAACTTTAAATTAAAAATTAAATCATTATTAAATAATTAATAATCAAACTATTATTGTAACATTATTATTAATTATTATTGTTTTTCTCCCTTCTGAGAAAAAAACTAATTTAGATGAATTAAAATGAATTAACTTTTTTGGCAAGATTCAATTCATATTTATCGCTATGCAAGATTCAGTGAAGCCCCGACGAATTGAAAAGATTAAATCTCAAAAGTTTGTCCATTGAATTGGGACGAATAGAGAGTTTGAAAGTTGAATACAGCTTTGTCGAATTTAAGATAATTGCATAACACAGATCGACGGGGGCATCGAATTAATTTATACAAGGTTATTATCTACGGATAACATGACTGTAAAAATTCGAGTACTCGATATGATACTTCGAGCCAAGCTCGGGCTCGGCTCGAAAAAATTTCGGCTCGGCTCGGTTATTCGAGCTTTTAGCACACCCCTACTATTCATCCTAACTTACTTTAAAAGTTATGATTATTGAATTTTTTTAGTAATCCTGAATGAGCCCTAAATTTTTTAACCACTTAGAAGTTAATAGGAGCAGTGCCATAGAAGTTATGCGTGTTTCCGGCCAGCTTCAATGTGAAGCAGGCCGGAACCACGACTTCTTTTAAAAAACTGAAACTTTTCAACTAATAATATAGAGTATTCTTAAAGGGCTTAATGAGCCCTAAATGTTTTTGCCACTTAGAAGTTCATTTTTCTTAAATAAATCAAAGCCCAAAATTCAAGACACACAGCCCTAATTAGCCCTTAATTCTCATGTAGTGAATATTTTCACGGACGTTAGGAACTATAAGAATCACCTTCCTCTTTCTTTGTAACAGAAGTGACCAAAATTTGCAGGCCTGTGTTATTACAGTTTCTCAACAATATGGCTAATTTCGAAATATCCAGCAGTTTTAAAAAGATGAACAGAGACATTTATTAGGAATAAAATATTGCCATTTGCATTACTTGAAAATATAAATCTTTTTTAAAAAATTAAGCGACGAAAATTAAGAAAATTTGACGGTCCAATCACTTCCAGAAACATATCTATAGCTGTATCTAACCAAAATCGATTGTCAGATGTATAAAATGAATTATGATTAGGATCCCGAATCAAAAACACCAGTGGTTAAGTCGTAATCGCAACTGAAATTTCGCGTGGGGTTCCAAATTACCCTAGTTTTCCATTCTAGGGTTAAAATCCTTTCCTTACAAGGCGCGCCTGGGGTGCGTTCACGTAATTCTCACTCTCATTAAAAAATGTTCACCCACACTCAAAAATTTTTTAAAATTTTACTCTCACTCAAAAAATGTTTCTTGAATGAATGTGAGAGCAAGAGTGAAAAAATTAAGAGAAAGGGTGATATTAAAAAATTGTTGAGTGAGAGTAGGATTGAAAAATTTTTAAGAGAGGGTGAGAGTGAAAAATTTTTGAGGATGAGTAAATTTTTTCGAATCTCACTCTCATTCAAACTTTTAAATCTCACCCTCACTCAAAAATTTTTCACACTTACTCTCACTCAATTTTTCCAATTAATTCTCAATTATAATTTTTTTACTCTCATTCAAATTTTTGCCTCTCACTCTCATTTATAATTATTTCACTGTTACTCTCACATTCACACAAGAAACAATTTATGAGTGAGTGTGAGATTGAAAAATTTTTGAGTGAGGGTGAAAAATTTTTAAGTGAGAGTAAGAGTTACGTGAACGCACCCTTGGAAAAATTTGTTCGAGGGCGCAAAGAGGGTTAAAACAGTTACTGGTACTATGCAGATCAAATATTATTTTTTTGCCAAATGTCGTACTGATAGAAAGAAAACTTTGAAATTTTAGAAAATATACTAACGTTTTTGGGTAACAAAATTTTTTCATTTCTTGAAACTCTAGGGTGGTATAACACCTTAGGATTATGAAATAATGATTATATTTCTTGCACAAAAAAATATAATGATATTACTATTTATATTAATTTTCGCAGGAATACTACACAGCAAATAGATCGATGAGTGTTTTTACAATCGGCATGGCACTTATGGTTTCCTTTATGTCAGCAGTAACTCTTTTAGGAGTTTCTTCCGAAAATTACACGTTTGGAACACAATTTGTCGTTATAAACATTTCATATGTAATTGGAACTCCAATTGTATGCTATGCATATTTGCCGGTATTTTTTAAACTTCAAGCAACAAGTGTCTATGAGGTAACTTTTATGAGTATCATTTAATTAAAAACAAATATTTTATATATATAAAAAAATAGTCGGTCTTTTTTTAAATTTTTTTTTCTTTTGAAAGTTAAAAATGTATAATTTTACTACAAAAAATATTGAAATGTCCTTCTTTGTTATTTTCAAGATATTAATTAATTAATTATTTGATATTAATAAAAAATGAAATATTTTATAAACAAATAAAGTTATCGTAATTCTGACATTACTAAATGAAAGTTGACATAATTCCGCATCCAACGAGCCCTATATTAAGTATTTTGGATTAGTGGATTGTTAATACAAAATTACAATGCTAGCTAATTATTTTTTATTAATTCACTAATCCAAAATACTTCATAAGTTGGATGCGGACTTAAGTCACCCTTCATTTGGTAGAGTCAAAATTACAATAACTTTATTCGTTCATAAAATATTTCATTTTTTGTTAACATTAAATAATTAACTAATTAATATCTCAAAAATAACAAGGTCAGAATTAGTGAAATCAGCACAGAAAATAAAAAATATTTGTTTTAAATCGAAATAAGGAAAAAACAGTTCTATTAGACAACAGAAATGTTTCTACCAAGAGAAAAAAAATTATTTTTTTTACAGAAGTTATTGCAAAATGATTTTTTTTGTCATTTTTTAATCAAATGCTTGTTTCTCGTAAACGAATGGACCGATTTCAATAAATCAAACGGCTACACAAAGGGGAAGAAATAGACTTCCGTTTGAAATTATAAATTGTTTACAAAGAATTAATTTTTTTTATGTTCTGCGCCTTTTAAAAGTTCAAAAAAATCCTAAAATACTCTTAAAACTCTAAGGATTCGAAATCCGTTGAGAAAATTTATGTGCAGTTATTATTTTAATAGTAATGATTTAATGCACAAATTTCTTTTAATCAAAGAAAATTTTTTTGAATCAAAGAAATTTTCTTTGAATGAAAGAAGTGTTGAAGGTTTTACTTGCGAAATAAAAACGAGCAGGAAATACGCTTCAAATAGGTATAAATGTTTATTCAAGTAAATTGACAATTATAAAAAATCTAGAGACGCAGTGTCTTCTATGATTGCTTACGGTGTACTAACTGACTCACTCAAGCATGCTCAAGGAGGTTTGCTGGGTACAGAGTAGGTACAAAATTTGGGGTTGGGTTAGGACAGGTCAGGTATGAAGGAAAAGATTCACCCGCATACACTTTCACTCAAGGAAGCAACTGAATCTCTCAAAATACAAAATAATATTCATGGCTGGAAATTCAACACTCACACTTATTTTGAAAGTTTCACAACACCCATTTTCTCTCGTAAATAACAAAGCTGCTTTTTTTTGTAGAGGCTTTGTTAAAATATCTGCTAATTGTTCCTCGCTTCTAACATACTTCCACGTATCTAAACATTTAGCGTAATCGGCATCTGTTAACCCTATTACATTTACAAAACTCCCACTGTTTCCGAAAATAATACCAAAATCACGTGTGCCTATCATGTACCGAATAATTTTCTTTGCAGCTTGCCAGTGTTCCTGTCTAAAAGAATCTAGAAACTGACTTGCGCAGTTTACTGCGAACTCGATATTCGGACGACTCACTCTGGCTGCAAACAAAAGCGAACCAATTGCTTCGCGATAAGCAGTGCGATAAGGTATACATTCACTCTTTTCGTTGTTCTGGGTATTACATAAGTTTAATCCAGGTTCTGCTGGAACACTTGAGGGATTAGCACTCTCCATACCAAACTTCGTTACAATTTTCTCAATATAACACGCTTGGCTTACAGATAGAGTTCCTTCTCCACGATCACGACTAATTTCCATTCCAACAAATTCTTTGGCTTGATCTGTTGTTATTTGAAAATTGACTTTTAAATACCGAAGCACTTCATCGATCGCACTTTTACTTTCATTAATTAAAAGGCCATCATCTACATATAATGCCAAATACATTTGACAGTTTTCCACTACACCAACAAACACGCACTTATCACTTTCGATGTTGATGAAGTTGTAATTTCTCAGGAACTTGACGAATTTCTCGTTCCAACAACGAGAAGATTGCTTTAATCCATAAAAGCTTCGACGTACCGTAAAATGGGGTAAAGTCGGCGTTTGGGGGTAAAGTCGGCCGGCGCTTTAAATCATTTTACAGTTTAACTATTACTTTTTTCCAGAAGAAATCCGAGTTTTATTAAAAATGTAGTTAGAATTAATGTAAATTAATAAATGAAATACAATATTTAAGTGTTTAAAGCGCCGGCCGACTTTACCCGCAAACGCAGACTTTACCCCATTTTACGGTAGCTTGCAGACCAAATCCTTATTTTCTCCGTTGTTTAATCCGTCTGGAACTTGCAGGTAAATATCTTCTTGAAGGTCCCCATTTAAAAACGCTGTTTTAACATCGAATTTGGCCATTTCGTAATTTTCTTTTGCTGCAATGTCCAATAATATCCTGATTGACTCGTATCTCACAACAGGTGCAAAGGTCTCGGAGTAATCGATTCCTTCCGGCTGAGTGAAACCCTTAGCCACCAATCTTGCTTTATATCGGATATTATTGTCGTTGGAATTTTTCTTGATTGTAAATACCCATTTACATCCTATGGTTCGTTTTCCTTGCGGCAATTCGGCTAACTAAATCCCAGGTATTGTTGTCCTTTAATGCCTGTTTTTCCTCTTCTATAGCAACTTTCCACTTCTCTGCGTCTGGACTGGACATTGCGTCTTCGAAGGTTAATGGCACGGAATCCACAATATTGGCAACTGGGGCTCCATAGTAATCAGGGGCAATAATTAATCTCCTATTTCGAAGTTGACGACCCTCGGCTGCGTTTTCGACGGAGCTGCTGCTGCGCTCCTTGAACGACATCCTGCTGCTGTTGTCCTTGATTTATCTTGTCATTCTCGTCAGATTCATTCTCAAACTCGTGAAATTCTTCGTCCTCGTCCGATTCATTTTCAGGCTCGTGCATTTCAAGATTCTCGCCATTTCCGAAGTCAATCTTCATTCGAAAAATCTTGTCGCTTGCATCATTTTTAGAAGAATTTTCTTTTTGCTCATTAAAATCTACATCGCTGCTGGTGTATATTTTGCGTGAATTTGAATCCCATAATCGGTAATTTGATGAATCACCATTATAGCCGACAACGGTAACTCGCTTGCTTTTGGGATCAAATTTCTTCCTTTGTTCCTTCGAAATATTTATGTACGCTTCAGTACCAAAAACTCGCAAATGCTTGATTTCTGGTTTGCGATTGTAAAATTTCTCAAAAGGTGTTTTTGTTTCACCTTGCTGCGGGACCACTCGATTCAAAACGTAAGTGGCTGTGTTAACTGCCTCTGTCCATAATTTCTTATCAACGTTCCTTCCTAAGAGCATTGATCTCGCGCTTTCAACGATCTTTCTCATTTCTCGCTCGGCCCGACCGTTTTGTTCATGCATGTATGGAGAAGAAAACTCATGAACAATTTCTTTTTCTTTAACTAATTTTTGAAGCTCTTGAGAAATATATTCTGTTCCATTGTCAGAACGTAAAAACTTGATATTGTTTCCCATTTGAGTTCTCGAAAACCTCTCAAACTCACGAAATTTTTCAAAAACTTCAGATTTGTGTCGTAAGAAATATACTTTCCAGAAATTGGTGCAGTCGTCCTTGATCAGTAGAAAATATTTTGAGCCTCGCGGAGACTCAATGTTGACTGGACCACAGACGTCAGTATGCATCTTTTCTCCAGGTAGGAAGTTACTGCTTCTTTTAGCTGTAGAATGAGTTTTTCGAGATTGTTTACCTATCACGCACGATTCACACTGAAAAACGCCACCACTGTCCAACACAAAACTTTTCTCGTCAAATACTCTACTCGTATTAATGAGAGTATTAATGTTCACATGTCCCATTCTTTCGTGCCATAGTTTTAGCTTATCCTCTGCTTTAACAGTTCTCGCGACGTTGCACTCACTTTCCGACGACTTTTTTACTTCAAACAACATGCGAAATAGTTTACCGTACCGAACCCCGCGCGATTGCACTTGTCCGTTCCGAAACCTTTGTCGTTTACTGTTCCTATGGAAAATAGATTTCTTTTTAATTCTGGCACAAAAAGAACATTCTGCATTTCTCTCTCAAAAGTTTTTCCATTCAATTTTTCACGGATTATTATTGTTCCTATACCGGTTTCTTGTAATACTTTGTCATCTGCGATTTTGACAAAGTGAGTTTCTTTGGGGGGTTTCAAATCAATAAAAAAATCCTTACGGAAGGTTATGTGCATGCTTGCACCGGAGTCGGCTAGCCAGAGGTTCTCGACGCTTTCAGTGGTGCTCAAAAGAGATGTCGCTGTAACATCGCTGCATACGTAGGCTGAAGATTTAGACACGCCACTTTCTCCTTTACTGGCTTTGGAATTTTTCGGGCATTCTCGTACCCAATGTCCTTTTTCCTTACAGAAGGCATATTTCGTTCGCTTTTTGAGTTCTTCTATCCTCTGCTTCTTATCACTTTTTTTTCCTGAAGGCTTAGGCTTGCTGTAGCTATTTTTCTTGAGATCGAACGCTTGAATCTGCAGTGCAAGTGACGATGCTTCGTCGTTTTCCATGAGACACTTATCTTCTCGCAAATGTCTTGCTATCAAGGTCTCTTTCATTCTCTCCGCTTTTGGAGTACACTCCCAAGCCATTCGAAAAGGTGAAAAATTCGGGGGCAAACTACTTAATAATTTCAATTCTACAGCAGTATCGGACGGCTTGTCATCCGCATATGCAAGCTTTTTGCAAATGTTTTCTAATTGTTCGATTTGTAGAGCTATCGATTTGAACGCGTAAAACTGTTCCCACGCACTTTGTTTCTCGTCTTCACTTGAGTCACCGTATAAAGATTTGTCTTATATATCCTTTGGAGTCGCATAATTGATTAGGTTTGGGTGCAAATTCTTTTCTACAGAGCTAAGTAGAATAACTGCTGCTTGGGAGTTAGCTTTCTTCCATTTC